CACAGAATGAACTTCAAGGAGGCAAACGGATCTTAAGAAGTCACTTAGGTCATCTTAGAGCCAGGCAGCAGTACAACTACAACATTGGGGAAAATGGCAAGATATTTTATCCTTAAAATGGTAACATGATATACACATTACCTCAACTAAAAGCTATCTCTTCTAACAGTTATTTTAACCCACCTTACCATATTTTATTGTTTTTCTCATTTAGAAATATGTGCTCCATCAGTATGCCAAGAAACCATAATTATCCTCTAATGGTTAATGGTTATTAACAAATGGAAATTGACTGTACGTCACTGTGTGTATATAGATGAAGTGAGAGAAAGGATAGTACATGTAAGAAAAGATCTATTTATTGACACATTCTCTGTGTGATTGTTATATTAAACTGACATTTTAAATTACTCTGAGAGAAAATACACATGCAATATATACATATAGAATGCACCCACATGCACTCATCTACATACTCATGCATGTCTCACACAAATTAGGACAAGGTCACCTGAATTGTGAGGACAACATTTTGGGATAAATGGAACAGAAAACTTCTTATTGCCTGAGAGTGACTTCAGTGTGATGGTTTTGTGGACAGAGATTCTGGGTATGTTGATTAGCACAGGGCTGATTTCAAAGGTAAAATGCTAACCCCCCCCCCCCAAAAAAATTCAAAAACCAAACAATCCTAATTCTTGGCTCAAATGAGCTGGGCTGTTCAGCTTTAGTTAGCTCAACTTGTGGCAAGGGAAGGAACTTGAGGTTTGACCAGCTCCCAGGAACTCGGGAAGCTGGATTACCCCAAATGAAAGAGTTGGACTAGAAGGGAATACGAAAGTTTATTTCTCTTCTGATGCAGACCTCAGTCTTCTTTGTTCTTCGTCTCTGATCTCTAGGCTGCCTTCCATGGTCTCCAGGCTCTGCAGCTCTAACCAGTCTGGATTTTGGCTACAGACTGGAGTCAATAAAGAAAATGCTTAACCTAAGAACATTCAAAGCCAAAATGCAATAAATCACTGCCACTGAAGGAGAAAAATTGTATTTTCTCTTTCTTAACTATGACTGAAAATTTTATGTTGCCTGCCCATCATATTGAACTATGAGATCATGCCTTATACTTGGGCACTTTGGCGTGTCCTCCAGTCATTGTTTCCGTAGTGGTGGTCAAAGCGTTTCTGCTGCCCTTAATTCACCTTGCTGACCCAGGGCCTGGGGTCACTAGCTGCTGATAGAGAGCATTTTGGGAGGCATTTGGTCAATACAATTTTAAATGTGATGTTTTTGTTTGGAATAAGAAACATGCCACCCTTCCCTTCACCCCAAATCTTCTAGAACAATATACGTCAGAATATCATGCACCTAACATCTGAGTGAAACTGTAATGACTGTTCTCTTAGTCTGATTGCTTTGTTTTAGAAAGCAAATGGGGAAAAAACAGGATTTGAATGCTACTGAAGCCATCTGTTTATTGATTGCCTAAAAGACTTAAGCACTTGCCCTAGAATCTTGGATAGAAATGAAACTTGGAACTTCCTTGTTATCTATTGTGCGTCAGAATTTTTGTAGCAACTGAAATGTCACCATTTTTGGGGGGAGAACAATATTCTTCTGGCATCATTTGGTTTCTTTATTGTAAATGATGATTTTTATTCCTCATTTTGTATCCAACTACTTCTGACAGTGTTTCTTATCTAGCAGATAAGAACTTTGTGGGAAATTATTTGGTTTATGGGACTTTTTCTTATATGATATGTTTAGTTTATTTAGGGGTAGTGGAATGTGGGAGAAGAGGATGGAAGTTCAGCTTGTTTTCACTAATCTTTGCCTTGGTATTTTGTAAGATTGATGGCTTTCTTTCTTCAAAGGCATTGCTGGCCCACTTTCCACAAAGGCTGTCGAAGTTTGACTCAAGACTTAAAGAAATCTCAGTGACCTCATGCCTCATTCTACCTCCTTCTTGATCTTTTTGCTGTTACACTGATGTGGGTGTCACACACTAACATTGGACAAGAATTTCGTTACTGTTGTTTTAAGTTGAACCCAAGTTAACTCCATAATCTGTTCCCTCATGACGCAACATTGCCCTACTTTGGATATTTTCATTCTCCATCTTCACTTTGATTTAGTCTTAGATAAAAAATTCAGAACATTTTTCAAAGTCAACTTCTGAAGCATAAAATACACATTTTTGTGTTTGCTACTAAAACATATCCTTGCTTTATTTTTTCTATTTATTTGTTCTTTTGCGGAGTGGGTGGGTGGGGGTGGGAGGAACAGGCTAAATTGAAACTGTCATGGGTTGAAGGACAATCTATTATGATATTTGTTGTAGCAGTCAGTTGAGTAGTTTGTTCATACTTAAGTAATTTTCAAACTAATTTTCATGTGTAGACACTGCTGCTTTTTAGTGGTGTTTCCACCATGTGTCTTTTTATGAAAAAACTTGCAACCAAGGGGGCCAGCCCTATGGCTGAGGGGTTAAGTTCTCGCACTCAACTTCAGCAGCCCAGGGTATCGCTGGTTCAGATCCTCGGCACAGACCTAGTCTGCTCATCAAGGTGGGGCTTTTGGGAGAAGAATAAAAAAAGAAAAACGAAAGATTGGCAACAGATGTTAGCTCAGTACCAATCTTAAAACAAAAAAACAACAAAAAACAAAACGGGTAACCAAGGAAGTATGATGGATAAGTTCTTATACAAACCATTCTTTAAAAAACAAAGAACTATTTATTTGTGATGCTCATAAAAACTGGATAATAACTACAAAGTAGAAAAGAACTGGGTCTAATATTGAAGCATGGATAGTGGCTACAGTGTAGAACAGAGGTCAGAAAACTGTTTCTGTAGCCTTTGTGGGTCAGGAGGCAAAAATCAAGGTTATTATGTAGTTATTTACATAAAAAGAGAGAAAACAACTTTCCCAATATTTTTATGATGAAATTCAAAAGTAATTATAATAATTGAGTCCATTTTCCTATAAAATAGGTATCCTGTAGTGGGTTGAATTGTGTCCACCGAAAACGATATGTCTAAGTCCTAACCCCAAGTACTTGTGAATGTGCCCTTATTTGGAAATAAGGTCTGTGCAGATATAATTAAGGATCTCAAGATGCCATCATCTGGGTTTAGGGTGGGCCCCACATCCAATAACTGGTTACTTTATAAGAGAAAGGACACAGAGATTCAGACCTAGGGAAGACAGAGGCAGGGGTTGGAGTTATGTGTCGCAAGCCAAGGAACGGTAAGAGCCACCAGAAGCTGGAAGAGGGAAGGAAGGATTCTCCCCTAGAAACTTTGGTGAGGGTGTGGCCCTGCAAACACCTTGTTTGTGGACTTCTGGCCTCCATAAAAGAGTGTAAATTTCTATTAATTTAATTCACCCAGTTTGTGATACTTTGTTATGGCAGCCCCAGGAAACTGATACACACTGATGAGAAGAACAGAATTAATTTTTTAGGGCAGGATAACATTTCATAGGATTGAGGTCCAAAGTTAGTGTTCCCTATCACCAAATCATTCACAAATGCCCATCTGTAAAACCATTCTTTGCCGGTAGTCCTTACAAAAATAGGCAGCAAGCCAGATTTAGCCCATGGACCTCCATATACCTGTTACAGAAGATCGCTTGTCTAATTCACTAATTTCATTTATACTCTTTGTCCAAGTCTAACTCTTTGGCCATTTCTAAATCTAATCTCACGTTTAAATGCTATTTTTCACAAGTGATTTTTTTTTCTTATAAAGGTAAAATAAAATTTGTTAAATTGAGAAGTGATGGTTGGAAAATAAAAATCAGGGAAGAGTTTAGGAATAAGAGTGTGCTGGGAAGGAAGAACCTGAGCTGCTGGGGAGAGAATGAATTTCCTGGAAATTGAGATGTGAAAGGGAAGGTACTGAAGTCAGACCTGTCCGTACCTCAAACTGTGGCCCGGAAATTTGGGGTGTTGACTAACCCCCAACTTTAACTTCGGATAGTTTTCCTCTTTCCACCTCAGCTTTGGAAGTTTCTACTAGGTTCTCACGGAATCTTTCTTACCAAGGAACACCAGAGCTGAGATAGCTGCAGAAAAATCTTTTCTCCCAGAGAATGTCAGGCCCATCATTGACTTGTTGGAGCTCACCTGGTGCCTATTACCATTGTTGTGGAGACTACTCTGTCCTGAAACGTAATGTAGTTCCCTTCATCCTCAAATGATTCTAATCAATTATCTGTCAATTGCTTTCCGAATAGCATAGAGGGCTAGTTTTCAGGCGGTTTGTAAAATTTTCTCAGTTTGTTTTGAATACTTTTTAACTGATCATTCCACACTTCTTCCTCCCTTTCTTTAGGGATCTACTTGCTTCAGCTATTTATCACTCATCCCCAACAAGGGGAAGTTGTCAGGGCAGTTCCAGAACTCAAAACAGGTCATGATGGCCATAGTTTTGGAGCGGGGGAGAGGGTTTCTGGGAAGAAGTAACTGCTGGTTATTCTAGGAGAAGCCATTATTTAATCTTAGAATTGGATGCCAGAGAACCCAAAAGTCTAGGAAAATAAAATATTAGGGGCAGGGTGTCAGGAAGATTAATTTCTCGGCTAAGAACAAATGCAGAAGTAGATCAGGAAGACTTGTTAGAATACAGCTTTGATCATGGGTTGGTGGCAGCAGTTAAATTTGAATTCCTAGGTTAGGCCTCTTGGATTTGCCCTGTTAGGTACTAAGAGTGGGTGAAGAAACCGTAGGAATGGATGTTAGAGGAGACCAGATGACAGGCCACTAAACAAGGCTGCACTGCCGGCTCACTCACTGTGCAGTGGAAGAGGGGCTAAGCTAGCACCCCTCCATCAATGCAGGCCGAAGACATGTTCTATTACTTTCTGGTGAGGGATCCCTATATGCCTCCAGTTTTGAATTTACTATCTTATTCACAGAATCTGTATGTAAGTCCATTATCTAGGTAGACTTGTGTAGTCAATAAGAATACACAAAAAGAAAATCCAATAAAGTTGAGATAATATTTCAATAGAGATTCAGAATAATAATTGCAAGGACACAATTTGAAGAAATCGCTTGCATCTGGTGTTCGTGTCTTCAGGTTCTGAGTCAATGATCTGAACAGAGGTATGGTGCATCCTCATTCACTGACTGACCCCTACATATCAGCCTTGCTTTTCCGGCATCTTCTTTCAGGGGCAATTAATGCAGGAGAAAACTCTGCCCAGCAGAGATGGGTCTGAGAAAAAATGATGGAACAAAATCAGGATCAAACCATGCTCATATCTGGAGACACTGTCAGTTGTGATTTATGGCCTCTAGGACTTCTCTGTCATGTATTAAATACTTTCAAACTATTTTTGGATTAACATAAAAAGAAACTGAATTCAGATACCTTGTTCATTTTTTATTTAAGAATCAGAAATTCAGGATAAGGCAGATTGGCTTCTCAAAGCCACTAGAAGCCCAGCAAATTATGAGCAAAAGTGCAAGTTGAGATCCTGCTTTAAAATATTTTAAATTAATTTTTCCAAAATATTACACTTTTATGGACCAATTAAATATCCTTAAGAGATTACAAGTGACATTAATCCTAGAGAACTACTTGCTAACTCATCAAATAATTTTAAGTATGAGCAGGTATAGGATCTAATGTGTTCATTTTTCAAATGAGGCAACTGAGGCCAAAGAATTTAAATGACTTCCCAGATGCAGTTTGGGCCACTGGAAAAACAGCACTAGAACTCAAGAGTTCTTGGCTTCCGGGCTTGTGCTTTGTTCCACAGCTAGCGGTGGGAGAGTTGAGATTTAGACCCAGGCAGTGAGGGCAGATCCCATGCCCTTGACTCCCACCTTCTTCTGCTTTCTGAATCCAGCCCACCTCTTGGGAATCCCAGGGCTCCTTTTTCCTCACTACAGGCTCCTTTTTGTTAATTGTGGAGTAGACTTTCAGCTTTTCTTTCTAAAAATCCATCAGCAAAGAAAACACAAATGTGAATTGTCAATAGATACGTAAATTGAATCTGACATCAAAAATAGACCCAGCTAACCAAAACAAAAAATAGCAAATCTTGGAGAGGTTGTGGAGAACAAGGAACCCTCATACACTGCTGGTGGGAATGCAAACTGGTGCAGCCACTATGGAAAACAGTGTGGAGATTTCTCAAAAACTTAAAAATAGAAATACTATATGACCCAGCCATCCCACTACTGGGTATTTATCCAAAGAACTTGAAATCAGCAATTCAAAGAGACCCTTGCACTCCTATGTTCATTGCAGCATTATTCACAATAGTCAAGACATGGAAGCAACCTAGGTGCCCACTGACTGATGATTGGATAAAGAAGATATGGTATGTATATACAATGGAATGCTACTCAGTCATAAAAAAGAATAAAGTCATCCTATTCACAACACCATAGATAGACCTTGAAGGTTTTATGTTAAGCAAAATAAGCCAGATAGAGAAAGACAATCTCTGTATGACTCCACTCATATGTGAAAGATAAACAAATGTGTACAAAGAAAACAGATTAGTGGTTACCAGGGGAAAGGGAGGATGGGGGGTGGGCACAAAGAATGAAGTGGCACACCTATAATATGACTGACAAATAATAATGTACAACGGAAATTTCACAAGCTTGCAAACTCTCATATCCTCAATAAAAAATAAAATAGAAAAAAATAGACACAGCTATTTAAAAAGTTTAAGATATGGGACAAAAATCCCAGATTTGCAGTGCTGTCTTATTTGAAATTAGATTACTGAATGGTCTACTGAGCCCTTACACCAGGGCACGGAGGAGTTTCAAAGGTGCATGGCACATTATTGCAACAAATGATTCTGGCTCAGACGCCAAGTTCACTGGCTTCAATAAGTTGTAATGTTTCTCATCTCTCACCTGCATTAAGCATACATCACCCCAGTATTCATGGAAGAAAGGTGATTGATATCTCAGAATAAGACTTATTTTTAAGTTGAATATGTGGGGTTTTTTTCCTTTCACAAGGAATGCAGACGAATTTTTCTTTAACTACACATGGAGATATCTTGCTACAATACTTTCAAATGCCCCATGGATGTGGATAATTTTCTTCCACTCCATCATCACATGAAAATGAAATTCCAGTTTGGGAATCAAGAAAGATAGACTAAGACAGTTGAATCATTCACTTTTGAAGGTTTCCAGTTCAAATGCTTCGCAAGCTCATTTGCAGCAGGCTCCATCCATGGCTGTCTAATGAAATGCATGCTGAAAATCTCAGTTGGAAGTTCAGGGAATCAGGGCCATTCATCAAACCTCGTCATAATTATTTAATAAGCAACATTAAATGTTCAGTCAAGTCTTTAACTCATCGGTTCAGTCATCAGAGTTTAGTGCATGCAAACATCATTTACAAGGTTTCCTGCTGAACGGTAGAGGATACAAATAAACCCCATAAATTATACCAACCCTCAAAATAACTTTTCCCTGCCTGTCCCCTGCCTCACCTTTTCTAGGCTTGTAAAGAACTCCTCAAATGGGTTCCTTCACCAGAAACATGAGGAGGTGGGGAGTTCATTTAGCTGGTGTCAATTTCAGCATGGGTGTGTGTGTAGATGAGAATTGTTTCTTTAGGAGCTTTATAAAGAGGAAGTTAGGTGCTCAAACCTTTGCTAGGGTTCCTCACTCCAGTGGCTCCAGTAGAGTTACTGCAGTATTTCTTGACCATCATTTAGACTGTAGATTGTCAGCAATCAGCAAGCTTCCACAAAGAAGAAAGAATTCTGCTTTATTGGACAGTAGAATAAACAGTGTTTGAAGAGCCATGAGATGTGGGTTTTCACTCCATTTTTGCTGTTTACTAGCTGTGTATCCATCTGCAAGCCTTGGTTTTCTTAATTACAATAGGGATGCCAAATTTCTGCTAAAATTTTATTAAGTGAGTTCTTAGAGAGACACAGAGAGAGAGAATATATCTATACCTATATATACATATAAATAGAAAAATATATATAGAATATATGTACAATCTTTACATATATATATTCATGCTTGAGGCAAAAAATAGAAACTTTGAGATCTATAAATTTAAGAAGTTCTAAAGAAGGAATGATCAATAGTTTAAAAATATACCTGTTACTTTGGGAGGTGTTCCACCCAAATGTTGTTAATTGAATGTTCATAATCTCTCCATGAATGATCATAGTGCATTGGAAAACATATTCACATCTTGCAAGTAATGGTTAGGACATGTTATACTGAAAATGTGCTCTTGGATGCTATTCAAATCGTTTCAAGGTGTTATCTAGCATGCCCTATTTTCCTTTGTTTTGTTTTCCTTTGTTTTGTTTTCCTCTGTACCAGTCTCACTGGATCTCACTGAGTTTCCTTTAACTGCTTAGAACAACGGCTCTCCACTCGCAGGGTCTTCTAACTATGCTGTTCCCTCCACCTGATCTGTACTCTCTGATCTCTTCTAACACACACACCTGGTCACCTTGCAGTTATATTTCAGATCTCATACCCATTGACCTTCCTGAACAAGTCAAATCCACTCCCACTCCAGTTTTCTGTGCTTATAACACTGTGCTCTCTCCTTTCTTGCACTAATCACAATTGTAAACTTAGATTTGTTTAAATGTAACCATTGATTGTGTACCCTACTAGTCTATTACACCTGCCACAAGGTCACAGAGTAAGCCAGCTTTGCTCACTGCTATATGCCCAGAGCCTCACTCAGTGCTTATTACGCTATAGAGGATCAGTGAGTGTTTCTGGAAAAGACGGCTTGCTCCTACTTCCCCACTGGCTCAACTGGGGTCATCCAAAGCTCCAAAACTGCAATGCTTAAGGAGATATTCACCATCCAGCTCATTTAGTGCAATGCCTCTATTCTTTCCCTGTTTTAGGCCAGACCATCGGATCTAGTCATTCAGTGAGAGACAGATCATTGAGGTGAATTGAGACAAGAAGGATTTAAATCAGCAGAGAGAAAAATCATAGGGCATTCTTGGGAGAGGAGAAACACATCAGAGAGACAGGAGTACAAAAGGTATAGTTAGGGGATAATGCTTCGATCACTTCAACTGATGTAACAACTCAAGGGAAGTGATGTTAGGAAGATATGTGTAAGAATTATATTTTGGATAATATTCTACACAAATATAAGGCAGTTTGTTGTAACCCTGTAAGCAGTTGACAACTGTTGGAACTTGGGTCTTGGTCTAGTCAAATCACTTGGAGTTCTTTAAAGCTGTATTTGTGAAGTCTTTCTATCTGTAGTCTCATACACTTCGTATGGCATATCTTATTTAATCCTCATACCGGCCCTTTGGGTTAAGGAAGTGAACTAACTTGACCTAGGTCCCTGTGTATAAAGAATAGAGCTAGAAGCTGAACCCATGTAATCTGCCTCCAGAACCCATGCCCTGAGTTTGAATGCAGAGACCATTTCCACCAGATAACCTGAGGTCTCATCACTTCCCTTTACATTGCAGAGCAGATTATGGCCTTTGTATACTATCTGGTCAAAGACTCGTGACAGACTTATTTTTCACGTTTGGAGGAATTGTAAATTTAGCTTAATAAATTTAAATCTAAAAAAGAACATGGTTAATATAAGCTTGTGAAAATTGTTTTGCCAGCAAGGAAAAAAGGGATAGCAGACATTCCTAGCCTAAGAGTTATTACCACTCATCCATATCTGTTGCCACCATTTATTATCTATGAGACCTTGGGCAAGTCATGACTCTTTGGTTGTTTCCTCGCCCATAAAATGTCAGATTCAGCTAGAATATCTCTAAGATCCTATGTCACGCTCCTTTTGTGAGCCACTACAAATCCTCTTGGTCCCAATTCTAACTCCAGGCTCTGCTTCAGGGGCACACAGGCTTTGATCAGCTTCTTGCAAGTGTAATTCCTTGGGGCCATGATGAGTACCTCTCCCTTCCTGCCCTGGGACTTCACTTAAACTAGAATACCCTTCCAGGACCCTACCTGTCAGTCAGCATGCACAACCTAGAAGTCGCCTTTTATCCCCTGGAAGAGAATCCTGAATGCAATTCACAAGGCTCCCCCAAAGCTCCTGCAGGATTGAGAGTGAGTGGGTGGTCCTGTGATGGCCAACTTAACACATCCCTTATTGACTTTCCCTCTTTTCATGTTCATTCCCTCCCTCCCTCATTCCCCATACCCCACCCTCATAAATGCCTTTTTCTTAGGCTCTGGTTTGGGGATCACGCAGGCTAAGAGGGCCCCCCTCCACAATCAGGGCTGTTGACCCTATGAACTAGCAGAAATGACTTATGAACATCTCCCTGGGGGCACTGAGATGGCTAGATGAATTGCTGAGAGACTTTCCAGTTAAACTTTTGAAATTGATAAAATAATTATTAGATACTCTTTTAGTAAGACTTACATTTTTAGGAAAGTCAAGAAGATTCAAAAATAGTTTAAAGGATTATTCTCATCACTATCTGCAACAACAGTGTCAATTTCTAAAATCAGTTGGGATCAGATTCTGAGCTGAATTACTCTATTTCCAAGGGTTTGTAATCTCTAGCATAGCTTTTCAAAATATCTAAGAAATTGTATGTTCATATTATTTTCCTTAAAGCTTATTTTCCAATAAATGTATCTCAGTGTGAGATTTCAAAAGGAAGTGTTCAAAATCTGATGACGGTTTTGGTGAGGTGGTAATGAAGTTAATGTGGAGAACATGTGGAGAGGGGAGGGAATGAAGGGGCTAAGGAGAGGTTAGAAAGAAGATAGAAGAGTTGGGATGCTTTTCAGGATTCTGGGATGCCTCAAGACAGATATTTTTATTGGAGGCTTCATTGACTTCATTAAATTGCTATTATCTCCAGAGACCAGATAAAGCCATCTTCATAAGTAAGTCTTCAAATATATTCCACAGCAAAGCGGGGAAGTGGAAAGAGCATTTGACTTGCATGACATTAGGTTCATGAACTTCTGTTTACTCATCCATAAATGAAGGTGTTGAATTGCTAAGTGTTCTTCTGACTCTAATCGAAGAACCAGATATTGGAAAATAAAAGTCTATGAGCCCAGATACCACTGCTCTCTCCTCTGCTGGTGTTTTCAGAAAACACAGGCCTTTCTGGGTACTTGCACAGGCTTTGATTACTAGATCAAACCTGATTATCCTTCCTTGCAGTTTGTGAGGTTGTTGTGAAGATCACACGAAACACATAATAGAACAATGCCTCACACAGAGAATATTCGTGAATTTCATTTTTAAACATCCATTGTAGGATAAAATATAAACGGTTAGTGTCTAGGATATTCTTTTATAGTGAAGACGAGCAGTAAAGTAGAATTGTTGAATTATCAAAATTATTGGTTCAATAAACAAGGATGCTGCAGCAAGTTACTTGAAAAAGGTAGAATGTTTTAGGGGACAATAAACTTGGCAAGACTTAAAAGAGTATGATATAGAGGGTAAAATGGCCATTTTATTGCAAATTTTCCCTCCATGGCATAGTATTGATGATATTAACCAGAATTCATCACAGAGCCACAATGTGGCAGGAATTGTATAGATATGTTACACGTAATCCACACAACAACCTTACAAGGTTACTCTTACCGTTATCTTGTTCTTAGAGACAATGAACTGAGACACAGAGAGGTTACGTAACTTGCCCAAAGCAACGCAGCTACCAAGTGTGAGAGCTTGGGTTTGAATCTTGGCAGTCTGGCTTCAGGATAGGTGTGCTCAACCTCTATCCTTTACTAACTCCAGAGTTGACCAAACGGAATTTACAAACGAACTCTAGTGAGAGGAACACATTACTATGACGATTTGATAATCAATCAGACAGCAGCCACCTTTCCAACTCCATCTTATATTACTCTTCAGCCTCAATCAGTGTTGCAAGAAGCAAAAATTTCTTTAACAACTCTGCATGTACCGCTCTCAATCTGTATCTTTCCGAGACATCGCCTCAAATATCCTTTGTACTTGTTCTGCCTAATAAAATTATATCTATTCTTCAATACCTGTCACAAGGCCCAATTCTCTCAAAAGCCTTTCTCAAATGGTTTCAGCCACAACAGGCCTCTCTCCCCACTGAACTGCTACTGCATTTTCAGTTTACAATGATCTTTTTTTTTTTTTTTTAAAGCATTCTATGGGTTTAATTTCTAATAAGGTGAATATCAATTGCTATAACTCATGTGATCAAAAAGTTCTTTGAGGGTCCTTTTTCTGACAGAGTAAAGTGCTCTTGGACCAAAAAGTGAGAAAACCCCTGTGGATTAGCCCTGACCCCATGATAGCTTCATTCCTTGCTCTGACCTCATAAAGAGACATTGTCATGAAATTCCGAGCATCTCTATAACGTCCTGGCTGGGCCTACACTTTTGGTCCTTCCAGCTCAGGAAGCTGATTTTGGTGACCTGTGGGAATTTGACCAAAGTAGCTTGGTTTCTTCTTGGGTTTTTGTCTATTTTGTTTGTCATTTTTTTCTTTCTTTTTTTCTCTGTTCTTTTTTCTCATTTTTTCTTATTTCTCCTTTTCTTTTACTTATTTTTCTTTTTACTTCATTCTTTTATTTTTTCTCAGTTTTTCTGTATTTTTTAATAGACATTTTTTAGAACACTTTTAGATTTGCTAGAAAATTTTTTTATTCTTTTATTTCTATTTTTATCAGTTTTCTTTTATTCTTTTCCTTATTTCTTTCTTTAATTCTTTTTCCTCATTGTTTCAGTTTTTTAATATTTGTTTATTTTTATTTTTGTCTGTCATTATGTTTTGATACCATTATAATGATGAGTTTGTAAGGTAGAGTCTGGATCTCATTTTTTTTTGAGGTCATTTGGAGCAAGCTTCTCACCAGCTTTCCTCAATCTTAAGCTGACCTTGGGACACCTTGCCTGAAGGGTAGAGGTGTGTAAATTGCCATGGTGTTCTCTCAAAAAGGTTCAAATTAAGTGAATATCTGACATCTCCGTGGCCTTCAAAAGCATTGTATGCAAAATAAGTGCAGAACTTCAGTTCTAAATACTGCCAGGAGCCTCCTGGTAAATGAGGAGAGGCAAAGCCTGGCCTTACCTGTGGCCAGGCCCTTGGCCCACACCTGGGAGACACTTCCAAGATTGGACTGTTTTCCTGGAGTATCTCTCCCCTTCTCTGCTCTTCTCTGTCTTTTCTTCTGCATTTTTCGGGGAGGGAAGATGGTTCTTCACTTCTTTTAAATCTTTTGGGGTTTTTTGGTGAGGAAGATTGGCCCTGAGCTAACGTCTGTGCTAATCTTCCTGTATTTTTTTTTTATGTGGGACACCACCACAGCATGGCTTGACAAGTGGTGCTAGGTCCTCATCTGGGATCGAAACCTACAAACCCTGGGTCTCTGAAGTGGAGTGCACAAACTAAACCACTATGCCACTGGGCCAGCCCCTTTTTTATTTTAAATGTTGTCATAAAATTGATGCTCCTGGAAGGTGTACCATGAATATTCTCCTGTTTTTTATCCTACCTGCACAGAATTCTGGCTGTTCCTACTCCAGTTTGAGAGTATCGTAACTGTAACCAGACTGTGAACCAGACTATCAGGAGTCAGAAAAGTTGCATGGATGTGGTCCCCCAAAGAAGCTTAGGGGATCATTTTGCTGTGCAGACAAGTCTCCTGACTGTAAAATGCAGGAGTTGGTCCAATCTACTGTGATGTTTTTCTTTTGGTAATAGTGGCATGGAGCAGTCACTCCAAGAGGTGTGACTAAGGAATAAACCATTCAGCCAGCCTGAGGTTGCAAAGGGTGCTCCATGGTGAGCCAGATGCCTCACAGTGCCCACAGAGTGAATTTATGACAAGAGACAGCACCCAGAGGTATGGAAGGAATCACTTGAAAGGTGGCTGTTGAAGTCGAGTTCCAGTTCCCAAGTAATAGGTATTTCCATTTTAGGCAGTGGATTTATGGTTTGAGAAACCCATCAGAACTTCTGCATGGGTTCCTAAGAAACCTAAGGAATGCCCCAGAAAACCCACAGCCACTGATCATCCTCACCCCACACCCACTTGTGAGCACTCCTGCATTTATTATCTTGAAGTTACATAATATTTGCATTATTTTAAATGTGTTTCTTAAGTTTTATTTTCTTATAGTGAATAAATAGAGTTGAAGGAAGAATATACTTTGAAGAGCATTCTGGCTTTATTGCTGCATGGCAAAATAGTCCCAGAACTTAATAGCTTAAAATAACGACTTATCTCTCATGATTTTATGGGTTGACTGGGCTCAGCTGTGAGGCTATTGCCTGGGATCTCTCACGCAGTTGTCATCAAGTGTTGTCTGGGCCTGGAGTTATCTGAAAGTTTGACTCAGATGAGCATCCAAAATGGCTCACTCATAGGGCTGTCAGTTGATGCTAGCTGTCAGCTGGGAACTTAACTAGACTTTCAGCTGGAGAGTTTACATGTGGTCTCTCTTGGCAAACTTGGCCTTCAGTATAATGGCTAAATTCCCAGAGGGAGAGTCAAAAAGTGAAAGTTTTAAGACATTCAGATAGAAGCCACAAGACTTCTTATGACCTACCATTGGAATTCTCAAAACATCACTGCTCCTGCATTCTACTGATTAAGGCAAGTCACTAAGGATGGTTTAGATTTAAATGGGCAGGGATTTGGCTTCTTCTTCTACAATGAAGAGGAACATGCATTTACAGGAAGGGAAGGAATTGATGGTGGCCGTCTTAGACTATCTACCACAGAGAGTTTCAAAAACCATTACTGAATAATTTGTTTGTCATTTATTGATTTAAGAGGTATTATTTTTTGATCACCTATATTATGTTCTAAGAATTATAATATCAATATTCCAGTAAACAAAATAAAGGTTTTGACTTCAATACAATACACGTGATGGTTAACTTTATGTGTCAACGTCACTGGCCACCTGGTGCCCAGACTAAACATTATTTCTGGCTGTGTCTGTCTCTGAATGAGATTAGCATTTGAATAGGTGGGCTCAGTAAAGTAGATTGCCCTTCTCAACGTGGGTGGGCATCGTCCAATCTGTTGAGGGCCTGAGTAGAATAAAAGGCAGAGGAAGGAGCAATTTATCCCTTTTACTTCTTATCTAATTGCTTAAACTGGGATATTGAACATCTACAGCTGGAGCTCCTGGTTCTCAGGCTTCCAGACCAGGACTGGAATCTGTCTACACCATCAGCTTCCCTGGTTAGACTTTCAGACAAACTGACTTACACCATGGCCTTTCCTGGGTCTCCAGCTTGCAAACAGCAGATCAGGGGACCTCTCAGCTTCCTTATAATAAATCAATCTCTCGCTCTCTCTATTTCTCTCTCTCTCTCTATATATATCCTATTGGTTCTGCTTCTCTGGAGAGCTCTAATACTTTATTTATATATATGTTCCCTGATATATATAAATACATATGATATATAATATATATCAGGTAATGATGAATGCTATAAAAACACAATAGGGTAAAGGTAAAGATAGAGCATAATGGGACTACCAGTTTAGAGGGAGCTGAAGTGAGGGAGTGAGCTGTGCATTATCTGGGAAGTGTGCTTTAGGCTCGCTTGGCAGAATGTCAAGGAGGCCACTATGGCTAGCTGGCTAGTGTGGAGTGAGAGAGGGAGAAAGTGGTTGGAAATGAGTTTGGAGTTTGTTAGGAGCCAGATAATTTGTTGTCTTGTAAACCATGGTGAAAAATATATTCTAATTTCTATTTTATTCTAATTGTGATGAGAAACCATTGGAAAATTATGATCTGCTTCATGCTTTATAGGATTCAATTTTCTGTTTCACAGCTGGAGACCAGACAATGGGGCTGGAGGAGACCTCAAGAACAAGAGTGGGAGCAAACAGACCAGATAGGAGGTTTGTAGTGGTCCACGGAAGAGTTGGTAGTGGCTTGGCCTAGAATATTGGTGATAAAAAACTTCAAATAAGTTTAATTCGATAGTATTTTGAAGTTAGAGCCAGCAAGATTTGTTGACAGGTTGGTTTTAGGAGATAAATCAGACATGACTCTAAGGTTTTCACTCTGAGTGAAAGAGTAAGTGGTGGACTTTTCTGAGTCTGAGAATTACTGAGGGAAAAACAGGTTTGAAGGGATGGAAATCAATTGATTGTTTTTCTTTTCTTTTTTTATTTTACATGCAATGAAACGCAGAAATCTCAAGTGTAAGTTTACTGAGTTCTGATAATTGCATACCTCTGGGTAATCCAAACTCCTCTCCAAACATTGACCATGACCATCAGGTGAGAAAGTTCCCTCATTCTTCTTTCCAGTACATCTTGTCCCACCTCCAGAAATAACCACTCTTGATTTTTTTCCCCCTGTAAACTCTTTTTGCCTATTCTAGAACTTCATATTAATAGAATCATATGATTCCACTTAGAAGAAGGTGAGTGGTTTTTGAAACAATATGCTCAGTATCTTTATTAAATTTCCGTATGAAGATGCCACCTAGTCAGGATCAACTAAAGGTAGCCAGGAAGGTACCCTGTTAACAAAGGCAGTAGATACAGTATAAGTGAAAATGTTAGGTGAGAAGTCCTGTTTTGAGCACAATTTTCAAAGAGGTGGTGCTTTCTAATTAGACCGTTTGGGAAATGACTTTAGGGTGTCAACACAGTCTAATTTGGCAGGAATCCATTTCAGGGGGAGCAAAAAATTGGGTGAGACTTTTGGGAACAAGTCTTATAGAAAAAAAAAAAGGCCAAGGAGACTGCATTAAAACTATTAGACAATGTCAGTAGATCCACAAAATACCATTTAGGGAGCTTATTCTTGCCAGTTTCCATTCTAGCACTGATCTGATAACTTCAGGCTAGTGTTGGAGAACCAAATTCAATACATGGACCTTTGTCCTTTCAACACGGCCTTGTCAAATCACGGCGAGAGGCTGAAGTTTGACAGCATCTTTGTAATGTGAAAGAAATCACAATTTTTAATCACTTGCCTTGGATGAAATGGTGGATAACTGCCTCAGAAGAAGAGACGGTTGTTATTTGTTGCAGTTTGTGGGTGGTCTGTCTGCTTGGTACACTCAGACTGACTGGAACTCTGACAGTGAGCCAGAGGGAGGGGTTTTTTTTCCCTCCTCTTTTCAGGGGGAATTGAAGAATGGGCCCTAATCCTGGAACTGACATCACAGTGGGTCACCACTGTCTTTTTCTCTTAAAATATGACACACCAAAGAAAGTCCACTTAAGAATATATTACTTATTAGAGAGGTGCCTATGGGGAATGGTTTGATAGGAATTGGAAAGCTCTTCAGGCCCAAAATACCTCCTCCTCCTTGAAATCTGTTGTGTTTTACATTGGAGCATGAAGGCTTTGGGGACTCCCAGAGTCTCTGCTGCCTCTGTAAATACCTTTGGGAGGGAGAACATATTAGTCTCTCATCAGCTAGGGGATTTATTTCATCTATCTGAGTGCAAAGCCCTGTGGAAACAGGACACAGAAGGGAGCTGCTGATGCTCAATGGGGAAAGAACCTTGAAGTGATAGGAGTGTTTATTAAGAGGGTACCCAAGAGAGGTGCTATTTGACTTCAGCATTTCGCCAAGGTCTGGATCTGCCCATATTACTGCACTGGGGTCCCCTTCCGAGGCTGTTCACTGTTTTCCCTCCTCCCCCTGTTTAATGTGCTGCAGGCTGTACCTTTTAGCCATTATCTGAAGCACTTACGCATACTCATCCATCAGGAAGCGTCCCTTTCTCTCTTTTGCCCTCCCTGTGTCCTTTTGGCTCGCCTTCTTTCTGCTCCATTTAGAAATGTTGACAAGGCATTGTTCGCTGCTGACTAGTTTGGTTTTTAAGTTTAGTTATTAAGCGGCTCTTTTGTTGTTATTGTTGTTTTCCGCAGCACTGGATCTTAATAGCTGCTGAACTGCAAATAATGAAAAAAGCAAACAACTAGAAAAAGAAAATGTCGAGAAGTAATATTTTCCAAATAATGACACCTGAGCGGGCAGAGCAGGAGGCATTTCAGTAATGTGGATGGCAGAGGAGAGAACTGTTAAAATCTTTGAGGCTGGAATTCCATTAGTGGCAATGGAGAATTAGGGAGTTTATGTGTCTGCTAGTTTTGGTGGAGAAAACGGAGGGACTGTAAACAGCACTGGCTTGCTACATGTTTGAGGCATTCACTGGACTTAGTAGAGAGAAGTATTTAAGTGCAGAATGCATCTGGAAAAAGAGGGAAAAGTGTGTGGAGCGCAGTGTGGGGGTGTTTGGGCTCAGTGATGATGAGGACATTTATAAGAAGATGATAGAGGTGGTAATACTTCACATTTTTCACATTTCCCCATCTGACTATTGTTAAAAACAATTAAGTGAACATGGAGGATAAAAATAAGCCTTAATTAACTTAAAAATCATGTTTCTGTTCAGCTTTCTCCTCCAAAACTTTGTTTTATGATCTTGAATAGCAAACAATTTTGGGATTTCAAGAGCCATACATTTCATATCAAGGAGGAAGGCCCGTAATTCAAATTTATGACCAGGGTAGAGTAATTAAAAGTAGTAAGAAGGTGCAATGGGCAAAGATGGTTACTGTTCTAATTGTTCTTTCTCAACTGCAGAGTGCGACCAGCTTTCTTTAGCCAGGCATGGGATGGGTGAGAGCTTGCCTAACTGTACCAAGTAGCTGTTTTAGATTTAGGATTGTTCCAAGTCTGGCTTGTGTAAGCCTAGTCATTATCTCCAAGCTAAGGAAAATCAGGAGACATCTCCTAAGTATTTAGAGTTGTTGCAAGTCAGGCCCATGGTCACCCTGGTAACCTCAGCTAAAGGTAGATCTGGTCACCCAATTTAATTTGGACACAGAAAAGACATTTGGAAGCCCTGTGATGGCTGGCTTTGCCTCAAGGGTGCTTCTAGGTGTCCACGGGATCCAAAGTCAGAGACCTACAACACTACACCAATCCTTACTTCTGTGAGACTCAGACTGCTATAGGGTTTATTTACACAATAATAATTGCAAATAGTAATTTATTTGCACAGCCCCAGACTGACTAATTAAACCTAGTATTACCTTAGAACTTGTGGCTGAAATGAAGAACCTTGGGACAGTGGGAGCTGCAGATTCTGGGACACGGATTCTGATGGGGCATAATAGTGAAAAACAGAAACAGGAACCAGTTATCAAGCACTTTTATGGGCCAGACACCACGCTAGGTGCTTTATGTACCTTTTCCCATATAATTATAATCACTGTATGAGATAGGCATTATGACTCCTAGTTTCTTGTTAGGAAAATCGGCTTTCAGAGATGTTGAAAAACTTGTCTGCTTAGAACACAGTTGCTAAGCAGTCACTCCAGGACTCAAACCCATGCCTGTCTGACCTGAAAGGCCGTATTACTAACCACAAAGTTTAGTTTTCCATCAAACAAAAGAATAACCTCAACATTTGTTTTAGTTGTTCACCCCTCACCAACAGTTTGGGAAGTATTTTGCACTATGAAATTGTATGCTGCCTTGTGTGAGTTAATGCTGAACATTTGTGCAGTTTTAGCCAGTTATATTCCAATTCATCTATCATAATCTTTCCTGGAGGAAAGAGGGAGGGGTGGTTGGTGGGGGGAAAATCCCTCATTTACCATTAATTTGTGTAAAAAAATTGAATTTGAAATGTCTAACAAATTGAATTAAATTGAGAAAGGTCATAAGAGTTTATCAGTTGAGGTCGTCAAGACAGCAATAAAGTAGTTAGGAGGCTGATTTTATATTAGCTGGCAAGCCAGCCAGGTCACTCTATTAAAATTCCAAGAAAGCCTGCATCACAGTGCTGCTCAATGTGACAATTAAATGTAATCTGTAATTTCTTCCACTACCCATTACACTGATGGGCCAAGGTAGTCACTCAAAACGAAAGCCACAGGAACAATTAATGCAGCGTAGTACAGCATGTATGTGGTGGGGCCATGTGGTTTGTTTCATCACAACATATTAGTCCCTGCTATTTTCCACTCCTTAGTGGCCAAGTCTTAACTTTCAGCTGTAAGCTCAGTCCTAATATATTTATTCAACATTGTTTATCATTGATGCATAATTAGCAATTGTGCCCAGCTCCCTCATTTCTTAACATTGATACCCATCCAGTCTTCATAACTCAAGAGCATCATGCATAGAGGTTATTTAACTTGGCAGTTTAAAGTTACGTATGTATTCATTTTTATCTTGAGCAAGCACATTAGCAGGCTTATTGAAAACCCTTTTTGTGAATGGTCCACTGGTTTTCCTTGGAGTCAAGCGGCCTTGCATCCATTTTCTGCTATGTGGCTCACTGGCTATAGCATGTGGAAGCAGTCACATCCTCCCCTGGGGATTTGGTTTGCTATCTCTAAGAAGGGAGATTTCCCTAGCTAATCCCAAAAGGCTCTTCCAAGTGAGCAACCAATGGTCCTTAAGTCCAATGTGAAGATAAAATCAAGGAGTGCCATCAGTTCCAGGTAATAGGATTATATATGAAAGCAAAACTGGCACTTTTCTGGATGATGAAACAGAAAAAATTCAAATTTTTAGATTAGACATGGTAATGGGAGATAATGGACTATTTTAAAGGAAATAAGATTATATTTATGAACTTATCTTTTTTGCTAACAATAAACAGGAAGAAACTATTTCCTACGTATTTTATAGATGAAAGGTTATTATCCAAATTACGCAAAAAGCTATTAAAATGAATGCAAAAGGCATTATCACTTCAACTGAAAAAGATGCATATAGTTACTAGCTGTAAAAAAACAAAGCAAAAATCAATAATATCTTATCAAATCTTCAGTTTAATAATGACTTTAAATGTGAAATACTTCATATCTTTTAAAAAGTATATCTTCTTCTTCTTATATTATTATTAATATTATCCAGTAGCCCTGTCCATATTAAGAGAGAAACCAGTGACTTTGAAATCATCAGCATTCCCTTTCTCTTACATTCCTTCTTTCTTTGCCAGAAGTAACCACTATTTTCAATTTTATGCGAATCATTTTCTTGCTTTTGTTAGTGATTTTACTACATGTGTATACATGGCTTAACAGTACAATATATCAGTTTTCCTGTGTTTAAATTTCTTATTAATGGAGGCATATTATATATATTATTTAATCTCTTGCTTCTTTCGCTCAACATTGTTGTTTTTATCCATGTTTACCCTACGTTGTGGGTAAACTCATTTATTAGTATTTTTATATAGTATTCCAGCATAAAAAACATATCCACTTTATGTATTCATTCTACTATTGATAGGCA